CCATATGTTTACTGTAGTATTATTTTCAATTGCCAAATTATTGAAGCAGCCCAAATATCCATTTATTCATGCATGAATAAAGAAGATGTGGTATATATACATACAATGGAATATTACTGACATCAAAAAGAATGAAATCTTGTCATTTGCAATGACATAGATGAAGCTAGAAAGTATAATGTCTAGTGAAATAAGGCAGTCAGAGAAAGGCAAATGCCATATGATTTCACTCATATGTGGAATTTAAGTAACAAAACAAAGGAGAGCCAAAGACAAACCAAGAAACAGACTCTTAACTATGGAGAACAAATTGGTGGTTACCAGAAGGGAGTGAGGAGTGAAATAAGTGATCAAGATTAAAGAGCAGACTTGCCACGATGAGTATTGAGTAATGTATAGAATTGCTGAATCACTATACTGTACTCTTAAAACTAATATAACACTGTATGTCAACTGTACTGGAATTAAAATTAAAAACTTAGTAAAACCAAAACAAATTTGTTTTTTCAAAAGTTGGGCTCAAATTATGGAGAACTATATTGGTGTGTTATTCTTTTTTTTTTTTAAAGTTTTTATGTCTTTATTTTATTTGGAGAGAGAGAGACAGAGTATGAACGGGGGAGGGGCAGAGAGAGAGGGAGACACAGAATCCGAAGCAGGCTCCAGGCTCTGAGCTCTCAGCACAGAGTCTGAAGTGGGGCTTGAACCCATGGACTATGAGATCATGACCTGAGCCAAAGTCAGATGCTTAACCGACTGAGTCACCCAGGTGTCCCTGATATGTTATTCTTTAACAAAATATCCCTAATGGTACAGATTGAGGGATGGTTTAGTTCTAGTCTTAACTGAATAATATCTGTTTAATATTGATAGTAGACATTGCTATTCTCAAAGTGTATGAATTCCCACAGTCTTAGAATTTCAAGAAAAGAATACTGTAGCAGGCATCTTTTACAACCAGAAAAGCATTTGTGGACCAATTCTTTAGTTTTTGTACTTGATGCTTTTTTTGTTGTTGTTAAGATGAGTCAAACTTTCCTTCTCTACTGAATTACATGTGAATCTCATTTACAGCATCTATAGTCCAAAAACCAGAAAGTACTGAGACTTTTTCATGTTAGGTTTATAAAAATAGCCTCATTACAGATACAGAATAGTTTTACTCTTCATATCATGGAATATCTTCTCTGTATATTCACAGTATGGTCCTATTTTAGGATGTTAAATAGTTTTTGCTCTATTACCTTTAGGCTTTTTAGTGAAAGCACAGACATTAGAGCCACTTTTAATGGTTGACATTCAAAACAAATTTTTACCTGAGTTTTGTATTTTACCATACTAAGCTTCATTATTAGCCTCATCAGTTCAAAAACACAAACACATCCCATGCAAAACTGAGTTTCCAAAGGATAGCTAGAGCATTTTATGATAATCCGAATCAATCTGAATTACTATAGCTATAAAATGCACTTCCCAAGGTGGCAAATGAATCAAGATTAGTACTGGTCTCAAATAACAATTGGAGACCATATAGAAATTGATATAATTCCACTTTTGAGAGTAGTCAAATGTCTAAAAGGAACACAGAGATCTCAAAAAACAAGATGATATGTAGAACAACGGTGGAAGAGCAGAATATAAAGACAGAAGGTGCTCTGAACTCCCAATATGATGAGCTTGCCTAATTAATTCAAGATTTAGAAAAGAGGTCTGAGAACCTCACAATCACTGGAATATAATTTAGAACTGAAACAGGTAAAATTCTGGACATATTGCTAGGAAGAAAATATGACACTTTGGTCAGGTGAAAATGACCATATGCTTGAATCTGGAATACTGCTGAGTGTTGGTGTGTATCCTGTAAGTTATGATATATAAGACACATGATAAAAGAGATAAGAAGTTAGATTACAGTCTGAGCAAGAGATTCAATTAATTAATACATTAATACATTAATGTTCCATTAATACATTTTAGGCCTTGATATAGTAAAACATTCAAAATTACATGCAAAAATACTAAATTCTGAGGATGTGGAAAGCCCCTCAACTTGTCTGAGAGGCAGATCATTTCAGGGAAAGGGACTTCACTGCATGTTGGGTTGAAGAATATTTAGAAAACCTTGCTCACCCAAGCTGGCAATACCAAAATGTCCACCCTTCAGCTGCAGGGAGCTTATTTCTAGAAGGTACATTTAATTCTGTCCTCCACTAGCCAGAGTTTCTTTTTATTGATGGTACATGCCATAATCTTGCTTTTCAATAGAGTAGTGATTCTCTTTGGGTGAGCAAATCTCCAAGAATGTGGAAAAAAACCAGAAATAAGTGTGATTTTGGACAAGTTGGCTTTATGTCCACATAGCAAGACCTCTTGAAATGACTACGTAATTTTGTGTGTGATTTATTTAGAATGTTTAGAATAGTTAAAGGGATGTTAATCTCAGCATTTATAAGTCAATGTATTAGATTACAGAAGATACCATGGGTTTAGAAAGATTATATTAGCCAGAATCACAGACTTGTCTAATTACGGTGTTGCATGTGGGGGAATAAAATTTACTATTTTTGTAATTATAACTTGTATGTCTACAAAGGCTTCAAAGATCAAATGTATAAATGGGGAATTCTGTCAAAGTTATAAAAACAAAGTGAAAACAACATTTAAAAAAATTAGGACATTTGTACATAAAGTAAGATCTGTACATTGATTAAAAGTAGGCTGAAAGAAAAAATATAGCTTAAGATAAATAATAAAAATAAAACTTAAAACTAGGGTTAAGATTTATAACTTTGAACACTACATACTAATGAAGCAAACATAATATAATATTCTTTTCTATGATCAAAATCTCCCCTTGGGCAATAAAAGCCTACTGGTACTCAGAGCAACAATAAGAGCAAATGTGTGCTGAGCACATGCTCATGGAAGGTCTGTGTTTAGTACTATAAAGAAGGCTACAGGTTTCTGTCACAAGTTGCTCAGAGAACTAATAAGTAGGATACTAAAACACTACACCAAAAGCCAAAATGTGAGAAATGACTCAAACACATGGACTCTAGAACAGCTATTTTTCTGAAAAACAAAACATTTTACAATTATAAATGATGGCATAGTGATGTTTCAGGTGGCTAAGCCTACAAGAAAGTAGATTTCTGGGAGAGTCTTCTTTAAAGCATGAAGAAGCACATTCTCATTCATCACAGAAAAGTACATGTGACAAACTCCTTATTCAAAGTTCCTAGTTATTTTAGAAACCCTAGTTCCCAGAAATACATTACAGTTCAAATATATTCTCACTGACTTGACCATGTCCCTATTTAGAGCCTTATTCAATACCATATATAGGTTCAGTTGTTTTCCAAGAATTCATCCTTGAGTGGTTCATTTGAATTTGAAAGAACTATGTATTATATATGAAAAATGAAACCAATATTAGAAAACACATTGCAAACTCTACTCAAATGCAAATATACAACATATTGGTTTTTAGGTAACTATTTAGAATAAACATTCAGTACTTATCTGTTGGTTAATATTTCTGTGAATAGATGTAAGTAGGCAATAGAAGATTTTATATTAATCACTTTCCTTGATTTGCAATAAAGGAATGCAAGAATAAAAACTGGAAATAATTTTCTAAGTCTCTAACATTAAGAGTATTTTTTGAGAGAGAGACAAAGAGAGAGAGAGAAGCAGAGAGAGAGAGAGAGAGAGAGAGAGAATGTTAAGCAGGGTTGACATTCAGCATGGAGCTCAACTCAAGACTCGATCTCATGACCCTGAGATCATGACCTGAGCCAAAATCAAGAGTTGGACATTTAACCAACTGAGCCACCCAGGTGCCCCAAGAGTATTTTAAATCATGCTAGGTGGGCCTGGGTGGCTCAGCTGGTTAAGCATCCCACTTTAGCTCTGGTCATGATCTCACAGTTCGTGGGTTTGAACCCCACATCAGGCTCTGTGCTGACAGCTCAGAGCCTGGAGCCTGCTTCAGATTCTGTGTCTTCCTTTCTCTCTGCCCCTCCTCCGCTCGTGCTCTCTCTCTCTCTCTCTCTCTCAAAAATAAATAAACATTAAAAACTTTTAAATAAATCATGCTTTTTCTTTTGATAATTTCTGAAATTAATCACTAGAAATCATTTAATTCAGTTAAAACAATAAGCTTTTTCATACACTTAGTATTTATGATTTTCGAATGACTTGCCTTCCCAGTTTTTACTTCATTTTTTACTTTATTTTTACGTTCTCGTTTGCATTTTATTAGCAACTTAAAAGTCAGGGTTATTATTAAGGCTGTTTTAAAAATAAATTTAGACATAATGAGAGAAAATCAACTGAGTTAAATAAAACTTGAAATTGCTTTAGAGGATATACACACAACCTTAGAAATAAATATACAAATTAATTTTAAATGTCAAATAACCTGACTACATAAGGTACTTGTGAAAATATTCTAAAATAACCAAAGGTAAAATGTGGCAGGTGATTGAACACATATGGAAAAACACATAAAATGTGTTTAAGAATGTTTTGCTACTAAGGATTCTACACTGAGAAAACAAGTTTTCCTATATATCCCATTTGTTATGGACAATGTCCTTATAATATCACACTCTTGGGGACAAAGTATTCACGTCTTCAATCTTGTCACTGGAACAGGGAAACTAAAATAAACAAGCCCTTTACTGCCAATAAAAATATTTTAAAAATCAAACTAAATATTAACTGCTTCAAGTCTCTTCCTGGGCTAAAGCAAGGTACGTACCTATAAGTAAATAAATACCAAATAAATAAAAACTAATTTTGGTTACTAAAACACCAGTAGTTCAGTGCTTAAACTTGAGAACCTTCTTTGAATGAAAGTTTTAAATTTGCTTCACCATCAGATCGATGACATGTTACTATTATTTTCCCAGAATTAACTCTTAACATCACATAATATTTTTGTGATTTAAAAAAAAACTATGATAAAACTTTAAGCAATTATTAAAGTGACTTACTTTCTTCTTTCTTGCTAATAATGGCAGGTAGGGTGTAAATCTGAAAAACAAAGGAATTCTGATCAGTTAATGACCCAGCACAGAAACAGGGAGATATTGGTACAATGATACACAAAGGGAGTATCTTGATTTCAGGATCTTACAATCAGTGTGTCCACAGCGCCATCTCCCTACCCTGTCCACCAACCGTGCTTCCCAACACTTTCCATCATGGCTGTCCAGCCCTGGGCAAAGTTCTACCCCATTCTATCTGATTTATATATTTCCTTCTATCACCCAACATGGTACATAGTATGTATTCCTTCTTCAGGAAGGATTTCATAATAGACTTTACCAGATTGCTCCTTCCTCAAATTATCTTCTTAGCGTTCTGTTCTCAACATGTACAACTTTGTACTTGAGCTATCACACTGTCTTCTAAATTTGCTTTAGGTCAGGGTTTACTTCTCACCTATTAGTGGCAAAGAATCAAGTCCTTTTGTTTTAATTTTTAATCTGTAATTGCCTGATGCTTTTGTAAGTTATAATAAAATTAAAACATAATAAACATTATGAAGAATAGCCACAGAGTCCAAATTTTTTATTATTAAACTCAATAGATGTAAAATGACTACTCCAAATTACTATAAACTTTTCCAGATGTTTAATCATAATTTCTGCACTCATTTTTATTGTGGACTGTTAACAGTTTGAGGAATGGCCTCAAAGCCTAGGGACCACACTTTATATAGTTCTGTTGTTACACAGGTACTCTGCACAGGGTTTGTCAATTAAAGGATAGTTCTCAAGGGACAGAGTAGGGCCTCCTATTTTCTCTGTGTGCTTATACCTCCAATGATCCAATGTAGTGTTCTTCATAAAGAAAACAGACAGTGATCGATGATGTATTTCTTTTTTACATAAGCCTCCCTAATAATTTAAAGTAAACTATCATGGCCATATTAAAATAACTATTAAAACAGGGAAGATATGGATGGGAGGAAAAATGTCAAGCCACAAGGCAGTTTACCAGGTGAGACTTTTAAACAATGATACAGACCACAGGATTAGTTCTCACCCTAAACCTCTGCTCATCACACTGATCATAAAGCCTAGCACAGGCCTTGCAAAGACTGGGGACTTAATTATTAACTGAATAAAATAATCAAATCAGCATAGCCAAATTCATGGTAAGTAATTTGTTAAAAAGTAATTTTAGGATTTTAAATTAGTCCTGGAAGTTCCCCTGAGAAATAAATTAGGAAGTTGGTGTTATGTGCCAGTGAGTGAGACAACACTAGTAAAATAGTAAGGGTCTCTACTCTTCTGATTTGCTGTATTAATATGTACGACACACATAAAAAAATCCAGATGTACTCTGTAATTAGAACATAAACTCTTAATTTTTTAACAATTATTTATTTATTTGAGAGACAGAAAGAGACAGAGCATGAGTCGGGGAGGGACAGAGAGAGAGAGAGAGGGAGACACAATCTGAAGCTGTCTCCAGGCTCTGAGCTGTCAGCACAGAGCCCAACACAGGGCTCAAACCCATGATCCATGAGATCATGACCTGAGCTGAAGTTGGACACCTCAGGTGCCCCTAGAAGAATAAAATCTAAATTCTTACTGGTTCTTTCCCATCCATGGCTTCGAGCCAGAGTTTCCGATTAGCTTCTGAGAATGCCTGCAATGTGATGATTCCATGCCTATTAAAAATAAATGTTTTATATATTTAATTATTTCTGTTATGTCTTCACACATTTATTATTTTTGTGTGTTTTATAAGGTGAAGGTGAAATTTTAAGAAAAAGAAGGAAAGAAAAAGTGAAAAGAGGGGGGAAAAAAGAAAAGAGAAGAAAAACAGAATTTAAAAAATGAAAAGAAAAAGACTGACTTTCCTTTCAGAAAAATCACTGTGGGAACATACACACACACATAGACACCCTCCCCCCCCCACACAGACACACACACACATAATTCTAATGGTTACAGGTAATAAAATCATTGGTTTAGGTATGACTGCCTGAAGGAGGCCAGTTTCAAACTATTTCCCATGAAATGGCCAAAAAGCATGACCTAACATTCTACAATATGAGAATGATTAAGATTATGACCCCAATATGGTACAATCTAGCCACTGAAAATAATTACAATGAGTATATAGTAATATGAGAAGTTTCATATCATACCTAGACAATTATTAAGAAGACACTAAAACCAAAGTGTTTATCTATACCATGATCACAATATTAAAATTAATTAATTAGAAACAATTTTCTCATGTACCCATTCTGAAATAGTTAACTTGAGGATGTAGTTTAAGAGAGAAAGAGTGAGCAAAGGGAAGGAAGAAACCAATATAAGACAGAAAAAGACAGGAAATCCTGAAATAGTAAAATTGACGTAGCTAACTATGCAAATTATCCAGAAAATAAATTTGAAAAGAAATTAAAGGATTCTGTGAAGAGATACATTGCGGAGGAAATTTCACTTCAATATTGTATGATTAAAAATCAGTATGACTTACAACTGTGATGAAGGCATATTATCCCTTTTGTAAACAGGAAAACAGATCATTAGAATGACAGGAAAAGGAAAAATATACGTGAAGATCGAGATCACTTGATCTTAAAAAATCTAAGCCAGTATAAACGGAAATAATAAAATAATAATCAATATTTGTTGGCTGTTTATTATATGCCAGGTACTATGTTATAAAAGCTACCTTTCTCATTTCATTTTATCCTCATAGGAACCCTTTGAGGTGGGTACTTATTATCCTTACAGATAAGCAAACTAAATCAGAATTTAACAGTATGCCCCATGGTTACAGAACTAAAAAGCGCTGCTGAAATAAAGAAAAATCACTAGCATTTTTGTATTTGTCTACATAGAAAATCCAGAGGTTCCTACCACAAAACTATTAAAACCAATAGGGAGCTGAACAGCTATGCTGGATATATAGTGATATATTAAAAAAATTAACAGCCTTTCCATACAGGAGCATCAAACATTTGGGAAAAATATATACTAATGAATTCTATTCAAAATTGCAATAAAACGAAGACACTCAAGAATAACTAAAAAATGTAAATTGTTCAAAGAGAGTTCAACTGTCCATCAATTAATTAATAACTTCAATGCTACCCCAAGTCAAAACTCCAAAGGACTTTTGTGGAAACAAAGGGAAACTTAATCAGTAGATCCATAAAATGTAAGAACATAGGGCCAAAATATTTAATACAGTTTTAAAGAAGCATAAAAAATGGGGGCCTTGCCCTAGTAGGTAGTTATAAGCGACATATATGTAAACTATAGTTTATAAGATTATATAGAGTAAGCATTTTATATAGTGCATACACACAAAGCTAGAGTATTCAGATAAGAATGGTAGCAATGCAGGGGAAGAAAAATAGATCATGGAATAGAACAGAGATCAAGAAATATACCTGCCCTTATTTAGTTTCTGTTCTTCCTGTATTGATACAAGAAGAGAAAAACAACAACAACAACAACAACAACAAAACGTAGAGCTAAATATCCCCCCTAGGTTATAAACTCACATGTGCAACATTTATATCTGTACCAATGCCCCAAGGTTAAGAATGTCCAGAACAGTGCTCTGCACAGAGCAGGCACTGAATTTCACTGGCTGAAGGAAACTAATGGGATTTCCAGCTATGTCTTATTATTCCTAGGAAGCAAGGCTACCAGTCTTCAAAAGTCCACAAAAAGGCTTACCCAGGCATGGTGAACAATGTTGTCAGGATCATTCATAGTGATGGGAACTCAAGTCTACCACAAATCCCCTAATGTTATTCATGTTGATTTCCCAAGTTCTTCTTTAAGTGATGTTGCTTTTTGCTAGCATTCTGTGTCTGATTTTTTTGAGAGCATTATGCAATATATATTTGTTGAATAAACACATAAAAGAATGAAATAAACATGCACACTGTTTTTAAAGACTGAAATACAAGTACTTGTATACTGTTTCATGCTTATATCTAAACACAGAAACAAATATTTTAGCTTATTAATAATATAAAGTAAAAAGAAAACCTCAAACCTTTCAACTACTTCTATGTCAAAGCAGAATCGTTTGTCAATTGAATCTGTCTTTCGTCGGATACAAGATTTCAATTTAAACATTTCTGGTGAACCAGTAACAAGGCCATTCTGAAACAAGAAAGGGAACACATTATTGATGTGATGATAAAGGCAAATGAAAAATATTAAATATGCTATCTAAGGTTGCTTGCATTAAAATGTTAATTAAAAAATGTTAACTTAGGTTATATATAAAAGTCATAATCACATCCTGTCCTCTGCAGACTTTTTGCCTCATGCTAACTGCTCAATTATAATACAAATTGTTTTTTAATAAGTTAATCACATATACTCATTTTACTTAAAGAATTTTGTGGCATGCCTGTCTAGTGATCTTAAACAAATGTACTTATGTTAAATAGCACTACAATGTACATTGTTTAGGACTTCAGATTTACAAAAGGTATGACATCATAGTTACCTTAATATCACAATTAGATATACAAAATGCTTGTCAGGATACAACACTGTTGCCCTAAATCAAATGCCCTAGGTTGCTAAGAGATTAGTACTGTTTCTCTGTGTGTGTGCATACGAGCAAGTATGTGTGAACATGTGTGTGTGTTTGTGGGTGTGTATTTAGAGTCTTATAGTATTAAATGACCATTGGCTCAAAGTCTCAAGAGAGCTACCAAAGTAACACATTTCTAGTATTTACTTGGTATAAATGTACAGCTGTCATACACAACTCATGACTGCACTGCTGATAATTGCTACTCTGCTAGTGAAACTATAATTCTTTGGAAAAGATCCAACACAAGCCAAAACCATAAGAATTCTCTTCTATATATCTGAGACACCAGTCACCTTAAGGGAAATATTTACCTAATGTCTGGTTAATTCTACTATCTTTGGTTTTACAAAGATCATAGATTTATTTATTAACAGAAGTTTGGTTTGGTATACTTGTTAACAGCTCATTGACTGTCACATAAGCTGGCTTTCAGGCAACATCTTTTCTTATGAAATCTTTAAAGTACAAACTAGCATGATTATAGCACTTAACTTCTCATGATGGTAGGAATTGAAGGTTACTTTTGCTCTGGTATGTTCTCCTTTATATTCTGTCTCTCCATTTGAATTTTTAGACTCTACTGAATGCCCAAGCACAATAAGTTTCAGCTGATGTATTTGAGTATATATCTAAGTTCGATCAACACTGACCTCTGCTATGATCTATACCACAAGTTAGCCAGGTGAGTCACTTACCTTGATTTTCTAATCTTGTAAAATAAGGCTAGATTAAATAATCCTTAGGGTAACTCTCAGCTCTAGGATTCTTAGATGATATGGGCCTAATTATCTAATTCTTAAGTTCAGTCACTTGCCATATTCATGTCATAACTCACAAAAAGATTATACCTTATATACAATAAAGGTGTTGCACTCTGTAGCAGTAGCACTTCCTTATATAAAGCACACTTTGTTCTATATTGTTCACTAGCCATGCGAGACATTCAGTGACCAATTTATTTTTGGAGCAAATAGGCATCAATTGATTTCTTCTGAGAAACTTTGCTGGCCAGCATTTCAGTAAACAGCACACAGTTTCAAAGAGGAAGTGGCATGTAGGGGCAAAAGGCAGCCTCCCACAGAGGTCACCTGGAGGAAAGATGCAGAGTCCTTGAGCCTGGTCCAGCCACCAACAGTCTCTACTGGGCTGCCAGCCACAAACAACTCTGCTGCCAGGGATGTGGGTGGACACCTCTGTGGTCTCCTGAAGGATCCCTACATTGAACTCCACTGCTTATAAACATTCCACAAGAAGACGAAGGAAAATCTTGGCCATTCTTTTCAAGTCATCAAGATCATGGAGCTTTGAGAAGACTTTTTTGAATTTTCGATTTTTAAAAATTATTTACATGTTTATTAGAAAAGCAAGCACATGTGATTTTGTTTTGTTTTGTTTCCATTACTTAACTAATAAACTCAGCTAAAAAAAAAAAAAAAGAAAACTCACCATTTTCCCACTGGATTTCATTTCTGAAACACTCATTGTAAACGTTTTACTTCCCTTATCATATGTACAATAATGTTTAATCCATGTAAAACCAAGTGGTCCTGATGTAAGGAAACAAACATTACAGATTGTTAATAAATGGTTTGTGTCTAAGTTTGTACAATTTTTGATGCTATGATACACAACTGAGTGTCTCCACAGGCCATGCAAGTTTAGAATATTTACTGTGAGAAAGGCCAGCGTGGGGAAAGCGTGGTAGAGGGTAAAGTGTCTTGCAACCAAACAGCATGGCTCTACTTGTAGCACTGATACTCCTCTGTAACTCAAGAGTTACTTTAGATCTGAATTTCAGTTATCGCAGTAAAAATGACATATCTTACATTCCAAAGAGGTGGGAACAATGAGGAAGAGCTGGAGTTACTAGAACTGATGTCCTTATTTCTATCCTTGTCCTTTATTCTTTTTTTGGGGGGGGGGGAGGGGGGTAGCTATTATTTTTATTCCAGATCTTTCTTCTCCAGAGATTGTTTTACTTAAAATCTTAACAAAATATAAAAAGCAACAGACAAAAAAAGTTCTGCATTACATGAGAAAAGATTGCGTAACTTTTAATGATGTCTGAAAGCACCAAACCTCAACTGTTTGCAATCAAATACAAAAGCTACCTACTAGTCATAAAAGCCCATTCGAATTCTCCAATTCAATGTATGCTCACACTAGAGCTTTTAGCATTTTCTTTGCCAGTTTTATAAAGGTATTTAGACTTTCTTCGGCAGCTATTTGGAGTGTATCAGTATGCCTTGTCCTTTATTCTTAAAACTGCCAGAAACTCTACTAAAACTTTAGTCAGGCCATTTCATCCACTTTGTTTAAAACCCTCCAGTGGTTTCCCACTTCACTTCAGGTAAAAACCAAAGAGCTGGGGCGCCTGGGCGGCTCAGTGGGTTAAGCATCCAACTTTGGCTCAGTCACGATCTCACGATTTGTGAGTTCAAGCTCTGTGCCAGGCTCAGTGCTGAGAGATCAGAGCCTGGAGCCTGCTTGGGATTCTGTATCTCCCTCTTTCTCTTCCCCTTCCCCACTCATGCTCTGTCTGCCTGTCTGTCTGTCTCTCAAAAGTAAATAAATACTAAAAGTATGAACAGTTCAACAAGGACTTAAAAAATCGAAGAGCCTATTACTATACACAATGGCCCCACATGATCTGACCCCTCATTACTGATCTGGCCTCACATCTTACTACCTTCTGCCTTATATACTCTGCTTTAGCTACATTGCCCCCTTGCTGATTCTTGAACACAGGGAATGCACTTCTGTTGCAGGGCACCCTGTTCTTCCAGCCTGGACTATTTTTCCTTCAGTTATCTGCATGGCTTGCATTGTCACTTCCTCTACATCTTTTCCTAAATGACACCTTTATAACATGGCTTTTCCTGCTGAGGTTTCTAACATCTCAACACTCTTACCTTGAAATTTCTTATTTCTTTCTTGATTTATTTTCTTCTTAGTAGTTATCACTATCTAAAACACGATAAATTTTATGAATTTATTATATTTATTGTTTGTTTCTGCCACTAGACTCTAAAGCTCTATGGAGCAGGAACATGTGATGTTCTGCTCACTAGTATACACTTTTTCTTTTTGAGAGAGACATAGGGAGTGCACACATGAGCCAGGGAGAGGGGCAGAGAGAGAGAGAGAAGAGAGAGACTGAATCCCAAGCAGACTCCACACTCAGCACTAAGCCTGACACAGGCCTGGATCCTACAACCCTGGGATCATGAGCCAAAATAATCAGATGCTCAATGCTCAACCAACTGAGCCACCCAGGTGCCCTTTACTAGTATAAAGTTAATCCTTAGAATAGGTCCAGATATTGGTTGTCTATCAATAAATACTTGACAAATGAATGAAGGAATTAATTTTTCATCTTTCTAAGACTTCACTAAACTTGGAGTTATTTCCTCTTACCACTAATCTGAAAAAAAGTGAACTCAAATAACTCCTTAAAGTAAAAATAACTTTTACTTTTCATTTTAAAACAAAGTTATATATGTATAGTGCTCATCTTCCCCCCTATAAATACTGTGCAACTCTTTCCCATAGCATACCACATTATTCTCCTATATTCTCCTTAAGGAATTAGATGCTGCTGCTTCACCAGGGAATAGGGATGCACAGTGAGGTCAATATTTCCATGACTAAGGTAGAAGACTTTCAGTTTTCACACAGAGAAGCCAATTATCCTCCCGGAGTGGGCTGAGTGGGTTGAAAATGGGGTCTGTTTTCTGTACAACTTCTCCATCTAGGCTCCCATCCTGCTTAAGACCTGAATCTTTCTAGCAACAATTATCTACAATATTATTGCTGCCTTGGTTTTATAATCATATATTTAAAAGCAAGAAATTGTAATGTAAAAATACACCACTTGAGAAAAGTGTTTCATGAGCCATTTGAATTTTTTTTTCTGTAGTAACAGTGCCCTTGGTGTCATGTTTAGCTTTAAAATACTTAAACAACTCCAGATTTAAAATTATAGCTATACACTTTGTAATCACAAAGGATTGTTGCAATAAACTTCAATTCTGTTTTAGGGCCATTTTACACTATAATACTTAAGCATACTTGTTGATAATTCTGTTACATGCAGTCTAAAATACTTAAAGGCTTAGAGTTGATTAGACGAAAGTGGCTGGATAAAAATATTTATAGTGACTTTATTACTTAAGAAGCAATTTATGAGCAATAATAGTAATAATTTTTAAATAAAGCTGCTGTAATGCTCTGATGACATTTTAGACCTAGGTTGTTTTTTTCCTGCCTCCATCTTAAGTACAGAAACTTGTGTATTTAATCTTCAAGTTTGTTGTACACACATGCTACTTCCTTTAAAGTTGCTTGGCACTAGGCCAGAACAGCTGTTACTAGACAAGAAATTTTGAAGTCCTTAAAAAAGTTGGGAAAATAAAAATTTATTATATCTCTACAGCTGCAAAATAAAACAAGCTTAATTATCTTACCCAGTAATCATCTGAGGTTGCTCACATGATGTTTGTGGAATAGAAGGAAATAACATTCACTAAATACCTACAACATTTTATCTAGATATTTCTAAGGTCAGACATTATAGAAGACTGATGCACTACCTATTGCACTGAAGAGGCAGGTTACGTCAGACATTATAAAGAGCACTTTACATGTAAAAAAATATAGCCTATGAGATGGAGATGGCACTACTTTCTCCATCAATAGGGCAAGTGATCAGAGTTGCTATTTTTAGCAGAATAATAATAATTTTTAGCAGAATAATAAAACAAAACAGTTGTTTTAAGAGTCTAATGAGATAGATCTAACTTGCACAGAATAGTACATGTTCATGGTAAGTACTCTCCACCAGTACTGTGGATATAGAGACATTTTATATACATTATGTCCATTCTTGCAACATTATTACTGGATGGGTATGTGTATTTTTCTTTTATAAATTAGAATACTGAGCTCAGAAAATTGTTCAGAATAACCCAGTCAACAGGTGGCAAGCATGGAATTTGCACATAGTTCTGACTTTGGAACTCATGCTCTTCCTGTTTAAAATGAAGTCCATTAGAATGCAATTTAATGTATGCCCAGAAGTGGCTAAAAACCACAGTTCTAGATAAAGTGAGGCTTTGTGTCCAAACTGCAATGATCTACTACTATTGCCCCATCATATCCACCTCCATTCATCACTCAATTTACAGCTCTGACATTTACTATTGATCACTGGTGCTAATTGCATGTGCTTGTCTTATGCCTTCCACTATGGAATAAAGACTCTGGAGCCAAATTCTTCATCTCATCTTCTATTCCCCATAGAATGTATTCATTCAGTATATAGCAACAGTACAATCAATAGGTTTTAGTGAACTGATCTGATTTTCTTATAAATGCTTTCAAATATACAAAGGGGAAAAGGGCTATAGATATTTGTCCCTTGTATGAAAATAATTCCATGGGTGCCTAGGTGGCTCAGGTGGTTAAGCGTCTGGCTCTTGACTTTGGCTCAGGTCACGAACTCACAGTTCGTGAGTTAGAGCCCTGTGTTGGGCTCTGGGCTGACAGCTGTAGCCTGTTTGGGATTGTCTCCCTCCCTCTCCGCCCCTCTCCACTCATGAGCACACATGTGCACTCTCTCTCAAAATAAATTAAACAAAAATAATTCCAAAGGGATATAAATCCATTCATTTTCTTTTAAAATACCCAGGCAATGGCAATGGGAAGTGGGGAGATGCTGAATAGGAAAAGAAAGAAGAGAGGAATTATATTGGGGCATAAGAGCAATTTTGCAGGTGATGAATGTGTTCATTATCTTGACAGTGGTTTCATGGTTTCACAGGTGCATATATGTGGCAAAACTTATCAAACTATACATTTTAAATATTTGCAATTCATTCACTAAAGCTGTAAAAACAATGCAGGTAGATACAGAGAATGCTGAGAGGATACTTTCTTAGGAGCAGGAAAGCAACATGAAAGGAGAAGATGGTAAAGAAAGAAAGTGGGAGAGTCCAATTGTGCAAGTCTCAAAGGCCACACACCACTAAAGGGTCATCACAGGAGAAGCGCAACAAGCCAGCCTTGTAGAGGGGTGTGCTAGAAAGCACTGCAGAGGGCGGATTATAGACAGGCAAGCCTAAAGGCAGAAAGAGAGCAATTATGAGGCCACTGCAAGACTGTGGAGATGAGAGAAGGTGTGGGTTCAAAGGTTATCAAGGAGATAAAATGGAAGGAGTGGGCCCCAAGTTACAGGGAGACAATAGAGTTAAGGAGTTAAGTGATTATCTCCAGTTTCTAGCCTAAGAAGGTGGGTGACATCAATTAGAGGGATAACAAATTTCAGAGGGAAGATTAATGTCAAAAAGAGCTTTATAATAATCTAGGACTGACCCAGAGGGGAAGTCATGTATCGTAAAACACAAGATACCAACATCAGATGGCTTTTCACAAAACACTGAATTTTGTCCACTGATGCAGTCCCCGAATTATTAAAGGGCCTATGCTTATAGTCTGACCCAAATGTCCAACAACTGGAAACCAAGTAAGTAAACTACAGCATTGTCCAAGGGATGGACTCGCAAATAACAATAAACATGATGCATTTGAAAATTAATGTACTAAAGAATTTAGCTAGGTAATGCAGCTTCTTTTCTTAGGACAAAATATTGTGTCTCCATAAGGATTTTAGCAACTGGGGAATAAAAACAAAATCCAAAAAACTCAAGGCATTAAAATTATTGAGTCTTAATGAATAAAGAAATATCTTTAAGCAAGAGGATGGCACTTCCTCTAACACATGCATGTTTGTACAAGCCTCTCTATCTATTGATAGATGTATTCATTTTTCTGCTCAGCAAAACATTTTATTGATGCAAAATGTAAGCTCAATGGACCCTCAACCTGAGGTTTTCAAAACGAGTACTCAAAAATTTCTTTAGTGTCCTGAGTTAAATCCATATACCTTGCATGTAACCAATGAATAGGTTTTTTTTTTTTTTTTCAAGAAATTATGGTGAAAACAATTTATTATGATCTAATTACAGAATAGCTAGGCAGGTCATTAAATTTATTGTGACATTCAAAAGCAGCACACTGGTCAAAGTTGATCACGATGAAAGAGAAAATCCTCAAATCCAGATCTGAGCAAGCAGTACACTATCATCTAATCCATATAGTAATAGATATTTGCTGAGTTGTTAAAGCCAATCATTATTTGCTTATACACTGCTATCTGACAAATGAGCATCACCTGAGTGAGAATGTCAACCATAAAATGTGCTGGCATTTTAGTAATCATATTGCATTATGTCAAAAACTTTCACAGCCAACCCAGAATCTCTAGCTTTCCCATCTCAAACCTTTTAACTATAACATTTTACTAACTAACCAAAACAAGTTCATTAATCTATCATCTACTGATATGGAGAACTCAGAGCAGTGCTACTCTATGTGGTTTTTGAGCCTCAATATATGAGAATAGTACAGAAAGCAAAAATAAGTATTTCAAAACTTGTACAGTGATTTGGCATTACTGCAAAATCCAAGCATGTGACTTAAGTTTTACAAAGACAGATGCATAATAATAAAAATAATTGTTCCTTTACCACAAACAGTATGAGACTGGTGCATTGGCATATCTGGTTTGAAACGGTTAATTTGGTCCAACTCATTCTACTCAATGCAAGCATCATGCAAAAAGAACCCTAGTTATACAAGTTTGGATGAGTTTTTATTAATTTTTGTGAGAAAAACTTTCTTAGTATGAGGCAATTATAATAGTGTCTTGTTGTGTCTGATGCTTATTTACTAACCTCAGGAAGTAAAAGGTGCCAATCTGACATTACATAATTGCCAATTTTACTCCTAAAAACTGATGGAGCATAGAATTAAATGAAATAATGCTGTGGGAAGAGAAGAGTATTATAGTCACCAGGATGATTCATACTGATAAAGACTGTGAATTTCAATTTTTCATCAAACTTTAAATTGAGATTAGCTGTCACAATTAAATTCTAAAACTGAACTCATGTTACCGTACCATCAGTGAAGGTTGTAAGTTCCAAGTTCAATAATATGCCAACTTGGAGATCCTGATGGCGAAATGTGGAAAAACTTCCTCACTCTGATGGTGGTAGTGGGAGAGCAGACTAAATATGATAAAGCTGTAAGGAATTGTAGTCTTCCTATTTGAAGGAAAAAACACTAACCAAGTCAAATCTCACAGAAACAGAATCTTAATTATAAGAGACATTAAGTTACATCTTTGTGACTCACGTTTCTCCTGGACATAAAGATAGCCTTCCATTGTCCACTGGCTGGGCGGTCTGTAATCTTGGTTGGCAGATTTCATTCTTTGCATCAACCGCTCTACCTCTTGTCGAGTACTTTCAAAATTATTCCTTGTCTTAAGTAAATAGAAACAACAATTTCATTCCTTGTTTCCTACCAGTTTTGAGGAACTTCCAGTCTAAAGTTTTGAAACAAATGGTGAAATTGCTGCAAATGGTGCAAAGGATAACTCTGTCTGTCTCAGCACTATTCACCACATCTTTGACCGTATATGTTGAGTCCTACGGTCTGATTTTGAATTGCTTTATTGAAACTTTCCTGAATGAGCTTCTGCATGTTTGTTTGTTTTTTTAATGTGTGTGTGTGTGTCTGAATGTGTATACTATATTCCCATTTCCTACTCTAACAATCTTCCTTAACAGCCAAATCATAACATTTAAAAATATATTTATGAAACAGAGTTTTATGTTCACTAACACCTAAGGTAAAAAAGTGCATTATAGGGTTACTGGTTGGCTGAGTCAGTTAAGTGTCCAACTTATGACTCAGGTCATGATATCACGGTTTGTGAGTTGGAGCCCCGCATCGGGCTCTGTACTGAGCTAGGAGTCTGAAGCCTGTTTCAGATTGTGTCTCCTTTGATTTCTGTCCCTCCCCTACTCACACTCTGTGTCTTTCTCTCTCAAAAATAAGTAAACATTTAAAAAAGTTGCATTATATTGAAATAATAATCAGGAGGTCAGTGTATAAATTAACTCATAAAAATGAGTGGGTTTCGTAGTTCTAACATCTTCTATTACAAAAAAATATTTTACTCACATTACAGCACATTTACTTAAGGTAAGACATAGAAAGCATAAAGCCTTTCTCTCCCTTTTGTATTCAGGCCACATTATTTCAATAATGTGTTTGGAAGCAAGCAATATGTTTGGAAATATAAAAATTATCACTACCCAACTCTAAAATTTGTTATGGCACATAATACAAGAACTGAATCCCAAAGTAAGTTAGGAAAATTTTCTAAATTGCCAGTTTTTCTGCTTTTTAAACTTTTTTTTTCAAATTCTTTTAAACATAAGGATCAGAAAATTTTCCAATTCTTTACATTCCTCTCTTGTTCTTGAATTGCAGGAATTTAAAAAAATATTTTGGCCTTTATAATTTTCCCTTTTAGTATTTACAAAGAAGTCCAAATGCATTCCATATTGAAAAACAATGAAATGACTTGCGTGTGAAACTGATTCTGCTAAAAAATCTAGATAAAAAAAAGCTAAAACCCAAAATACAAATAAGATAAATCCAATTACTATTTCTCATGGGACACTCAAACTGCATAGTGCCATTTACTGAACATCTCCGCAATGGCAAGAATCAGATAAACAGTGAAAAACAAGCTTTTTATAGAAAACTAAGTGAAAACTTTCCAAACTATTTTGGCTATAGAGTACTAGATTATTAGGGTTTCAGAAATAACTTCATTCATACAAAATTCTCAACAATTAGAACTTTCCTGTCAGGTTCAATAATGCAGGAATGGGCTGGATAAGTTTTTTGTATGTTTTTTAATGTAAGTGATGTTTAGCATCTGCAAATCTGAATTTGTATAACTAAGAAACTGGATATTAAAAGGATTAGACAACTTATAAAATAAACTAACAAAAATATGATGTTTGTATATAATTCTCAATTAAGCTTTAAAGCAATTATTATGAGTGCTTAAAAACATTCAAATTCATTAATCATTAATTATTCAAATTCAAATAAAAATATCATATATATTACATACAGTTTCGGAGGAGAAAAGGGCATTCCTTCAGTGCTTAAGTACAAACTCTTAATTTCACAAACATAAAAATGTTAGCCTTTCAGAAAATAAGACTTGCCAGAGGTCACCAAGTAAAGCAATGAGAACACTGGATAAAGGCAAAAGTTTCCAACTTTCCAAGTATCTAGTATGTAAATCTCTGTAATACTTATTTCTATGAAATTGGCCACCATAAGTTTTTCTAACATATGATTAGCTCATTCCTTGTATACTTTTAACCAGGAGCTAGAAAAAAATGTTTTAATAAATTTATTAAACAGCTTTCCTAAATTTGGTAAATTTTTGACATACTCCAAGGTTTGGCTGGATTATAATTAGTTTCTCTGTCATCATCTGATTTACTAAGGAGAAGCAATAAGAACAGCTATAGTCTTACGTTCTGCAAGTTGAACTGAAGCTGTTGCTTATATGGTGCAAATTCCTGGGCAAGTTCGTATCCCTCGTGGTAAAAAGTAAATAAACCCTGCAGGAATGACAAAAGCTGCAAAAACAGAGAAATGTAAGAAACTATGAAAATATGTTTTTAAAAAAGATGACCATTAAACATAATAAACTGGGAAATTCTATCTCATTCTAACTCCTCAACCTAATAAATTTTCAACCCCCTTTGTTTGGCAAAGCAGACACTAGAGTTATGAATGTGAAACAAACCACAAAAGCTAATTTTTACTCATTTTTGGTAAACAGTGACAGGGAGAGTTGTTCTATTAACTATCCTACTATTCAAATGCATTGAAAAAAATATCAGGGACGGACCATTAGGATAAAGGCCAAAGTGACATAGTTCCTACCTTAGAAGAGCTTCTAACCCAAACAGAGAGATAAAATGTGCAGATTTGAGGAAGACTAAACTAGTAAATTAGAGATAAGGAGTACCGAAGGGGAGGAATAAGAGTTTGGCTAGATAAAATTAAGAAAAATTTCACAAGGTGGCAGTACTGACTTGGGGATTAAGTAGACAACATTTTAGCAAGTATTAGGAAGAACTGAAAACAGAGAAAAGAGCTGAGCAACAACGTGGAACTGGACACAGATCTTTCATATAAAGAATTAGAGTAAAATCCTCTTTAGGAAATTACAATGTCTATTATCCTAACTTTCTAATCTCAAACTCACATCCGCTTATTTATTAGTGTCTAATTCATACAGCAAGAGTAGTTCTCCATTACAGGACACGGTTGTTTATACAGAGTAATTACAACTGAAAATTATTAATTTTTTTCACTGGGATTTTTATAACAAACTTCACCAATTTGATCTCTTCCTACAATAAAGGTAGAAAATACTTTTGAGAAATGACTAATGTTTTTTTAATAATTTTTTAATGTTTATTTGTTTTTGAGAGAGAGACAGTGTATGTGAGCAGGGGAAGGGCAGAAAGAAAGGGAGATACAGAAGTTGAAGCAGGCTCCAGGCTCTGTCTGAACTGTCAGCACAGAGCCTGATGCAGGGCTAGAATCAATGAACTGTGAGATCATGACCTGAGCTGCAGTCAGACACTTAACCAACTGAGCCACCCAGGCGCCCCATGTTTGTTTGTTTGTTTTTAATTCAAATAGCATATTATGTCTGTAAGCTATTATTTTACACTAAGGAAGAAACACTGTTTGAAATTTTGATATGTGACTAAACATCTCACCATTTCCTATGTCTGGGGATTCAGCTTAAGCACCAAGTGGTTTATATGTTATGATTTCCAAGAGATAACTACTGGTTCTGTCTGAAAACAAGGACATAATGCTTTTCTTCCTATAATAAGTCAACTTCTTACAAAGTTATGCTCGTGTCAGAAAGCACATACTTTCAAATTGGTTTTAAGTTGTTATGTTTAAAGACTTTCCTCCTCTTGATTAACAATTCTTGATGTCAAAATATACTGTTTTCCAATTTTAGAATTTCTTTCCACTGTCAATTATATATCAGTAGATAATTACTATCAAAATAAATATTCAATAGATTATCCTTCGCTGAAATGATGCTACAATATGTTTGCTGAAATATCCAATAATTTAAAATATAAATTATTTTATATGTGCACACATTGCAGCCTAATTAAAAAGAACTATATCTTAAAACAGGGTTAAGAGTAAGTTTAATTAATTGAGATTTGGATATACAGATTTAGAAGTTTTCAAAGACAAATAAGAAAATACTTTTTTCTTAGAAGTATACAGACAACTAGTCTTTTAAATATCTGAATAATAGTTTATGAAGTTGTTTGAAGGGGTATTTCAAACATGTATTTCATGTTTTAATGTCTATAACTGGTTTCCAATTAAACTATTTATTATTAAGTAGATGCCATACAAGGAAGATTCCAATTTTATTCTATTATTATTCTATAATTTTATTCTAATATTATCTTAAGTATACAGAATTTAATTAAACTCATAAAGAAGATAAAAATATCTGAAGTAAGTCTTCCTATAAAATACCAAATTCCCCAAGATCCTTCTAAATAAATAAATCTATTGGCATCTTCTAGCAGAATTCGGATTTGCTCAGTAGCAGACAATGCATGCTGAGCACCCACTAGGGAAAGAACAATTTGGAGTGAGGTACAAAGAAATTATCTAGCAAGAACCACCCATCTTTTCCTTTTGTTACCTACTTTGGAAGCATGTTTTGTGAAAATTTAAAAAAGACCGCATGTATGAAATAACTGCCACTAGATGGCAGTAAAGTCAAACTTTTAAAGGCTTGAATAAATACTAGTTTATTTTTATCCTCAACAAATTCCATGAGACTAAATTAAGGTAACGTAATAAGACAGCCTAAAAATCTTTAAGAATTCCATTTCCTATATGCTGTCTTCTGTGTTCAATCTGTCTGATTGAGTGGAGCGGTTTGGGAAAGATTACTGTCTCAGTTTAGCTTAAAGTAAACCTTACCTTTAAAATAATAATAACAACTAGTAAAAACTACTGAAGAAACAGATTAGGCTTTAATATTAAGTCACTTTTATCGCCAGCAAAAGCTTATATAGCACTTTATTATTCCCAAGGGTTTTAGAATCAAATAACCATTTGTCATTCCAAACACCCGACCAAATATAAACGTTGATACTACATTTACAGATAATCATTTGGCAAAAGAAAGAGAGCAAATGAAAAAAAAATCATAATTCCCCATGCCACTAATCACCAGGTTTCAAGCTTACGGACCTCCAGTTATCAGCGATACTGTGAATGACAGAGAAAAGTGAGAAGGGCTGGGGCTAGCATGGAGTGAGGAGAAGAATCCTGAAGCGACTGATGCATTAATTGCAGGACTGTTGCTCAAATTGAGAAGAACTGAGATGTAAAGCTCTTATAAGGTGATCCATTCCTTATTGCCTAAGAAGTTAATCACTGAAAATCTTAGGGAATCCATTAACAAAACTACTAGAACTGATAAACAAGTTCAGCAATGCTGCAGGATACAAGATTAATACACAAAAATCAACTTTATTTTTATATAGTTGGACTGAACAATCTGAAAATGAAATTAAAGAATCTCTTTCATAATAGTTTCAAAAGAATAAAATACCAAGAAATAATTTTAAGTATAAATTTGAAAAGTATATACTTGAAAAGTATAAAACACTGTTTAAGGAATTAAAGAAAGTTTAGATAAAAGGCAAATACTTCATGTTCATTAATTAGAAGAGTTAATACTGTTAACATGGCAATACTCCACAAATAATGTGTAGAGCGAATGCAATCCCTATGAGAAGCCTACCTGACTTCTTTATAGAAAGTTACTTTATAGAAGTGACATGCTGATGCTAAAATTCATATGGAATTACAAGGAAACCAGACCATCAAAACAATCTTAAAAAAGAAGAACAAAGTATTTAAACTCACACTTCTCAATTTCAAAACTTAATACAAAGCAATGGTAATCAATATAGTGTGATATGGCACCAGTATAGACATTAAATCAATGAAAAATTATTGAGAATTTAGAAACAAGCCCACATATCTAAGGTCAACTTATTTTCAACAAGGGCACCAAGATCATTCATTGGATAAAGAATAGTTTTTTCAGCAAATATTTCTTGGACCACTGGGTAAACATATACAAAAGAATGATGTTGGAACCATACTTCACACCACTGACAACAATTAACTTAAGATGAGTGAATAGTACGATATGTGAATTACATCCCAATTAAGGCTACTTAAAAAAAAAAAAAATTTCACTTCACATACACAGAATACTATACTGCACTGAAAGAAATCCAAATCTAATATAAGACCTCTACATTTAGGCACTGGAACCTTTAAGAAGATTGGCAACATAGGGCAAAGACATTAATTTTCATCTAATACAAGTGTCCAGCCTGTGAGTTATTAAACTGGTACTTTCCGTTATTCTTTACTCAGAGGAAACACATAAATATCTTAGATGATAGCCTCAAAATAACTATTAAGTGCTTTAAGTTTAATGCTGAGATATTCAGAGGAATTTATTGAATGGAAAAGAAAGGATATAAGAATATAATCAAATAAACAACAGGTGCTGGTGAGGATTCAAACAAAGGGGAACCCTCTTACACTGTTGGTGGGAATGTTAAACTGGTGCGGACACTCTGTAAAATAGTATGGAGGTCCCTCAGAAAGTTAAAAATAGATCTTCCCTATAAAGAACAAACTGAGGGTTGCTGGTAGGGGGACAGTGTATGATGGGTATTGGGAGGGCCCCTGTAGTGGGCACTGGGTAATGTGTATGGGTGAGGATTACCGGGTTGTTCATGTTATGCAGTACTGCACTGCATGTTCACTAATTGGAATTTAAATAAAAACTTGAATCACAAAAGTAAAAATAAAAAAATAAAGAACATCAACATTTAGATAAGGTCTTTACGCAACTGATTTCTAAAACAAAGTACAAGGTGATGAGCCAACCAAACCAATGCAACACATTTTTCTTACTTTTCCAAAATTCCATTCACTATCTAACTCCTTTTGCAAATTGCAAATTTTCAGTAGCAGTAGCTAGAACTAAATCCAAGGGCCAATGCAGATTTCAAGATAGTTTGGCTTTATTGTTTCAATTTTACAGAATAACTATTTTTAGGTTTTTAGCAAATTTAACCCCTAGGCCTAAAAATTTTGAAAAAATTAATGACATTTTCTTTTTGCTCACTATAATTTACCTTAAGTTAAATGTTGTGTATTAAAGCTAACCTATCACACTGAAAAAGAACACAAAAAGGTTTTACTTTTAGGACTGCAGGACTATATATTATCTGACTTTAATTTAATATATAGTATTTAGTAACTTAATTATTTAATTACTCAAACTTTAGACAACTCAGGATATACTTTCTAGTATACTTCATGATATAATAAGCAAAAAAGCTAAAGCATATTAAGCAGATTAAGCGAAATTTTCTTTAGCATGAGATTTGAAATTAAAGTTAGCAGACTCAGGACAGAGTTTCAAACACATTATTTTTAGTTTACACGTAATGGTTTATTTTTTGTCATTTTAAAAAAAATGTTTGCTTATTTCTGAGACAGAGAGTCTGAACTTACACATCTTGTCAAATCTGAAAGGACTTTTTTTTTAGCACTGCTTCACAGAAACATAATATGAATAAATGCAAACCAATGTGAAAATTTAAGTCTCCTAGGAGACACATAAAAAACCCACAAACCTTTAAACCAAGTGAAATTTAGTATTTTATTTAACACAGTTTATCCAATAGATTATCATGTCAATAGTTAAGCAATATAAAAGCCATTTTAATGAGATATTTTATATACTTTTTTGTACCAAACCTTTGTAATATAGTAGGTGTTTCATATTTACAGCCTATCTTATTCTAGACTTTTATTTTGAATGTTTGATAGCCATACATGGTTATTTGCTACCCTACTAGATAACATAGGTCTATAGATCACCAGTTAACTATAATCACCTTCTATGTAAGATATATAAATGGGGGGGGACCATTAAAATTATATAACTTATAAATACTGAGTTTAAAAAGTTTATTTTCTGTATCCTATAAAACAATTACATAGTTTAATAAAAAAACATAAATGCTCCCTGTTCTTCTATGTATTTGAACCAGCTTTTCCATGAAATAATGACACTGTAGGAATATTTATTTCTAACACAGTGGTATCCTCTTATCTAAGGTTTTGCTTTCTGTAGTTTAGTTACCCACAGTCAACCACAGTGTAAAAGCAGATAATCTTCCTTCTGATATTATCATTAGGTCTATAGTAACTTAACATTTTTGCACAGTAGAGGAAACAATAAACAAAACTAAAATGCAACTTGTGGAATGGGAGAAGATGTTTGTAAATGACATGTCAGATAAAGGGTTAGTATCCAAAATCTACAAAGAACTTATCAAACACCCAAAAAATAACCCAGTTTAAGAAATGGGCAGAAGACATGAATAGATATTTCTCCAAAGAAGACATACAAAAGGTTAAAAGACACATTAAAAACTTCTCAACATCACTCATTATCAGGGGAATATGAATCAAAACCACAATGAGATATCACCTCAAACCTGTCAGGATGGCTGAAATTAACAACACAAGAAACAACAGGAGTTGGTGAGGATTCAGAGAAAGGGGAGCCCTCATATACTGTTGGTGGGACTGCAAACGGTGCAACCACTCTGGAAAACAGTATGGAGGTTCTTCAAAAAGTTAAAAATGGAACCACTTTTATAATCCCTATAATCCAGCACTTGCACTACTAAGTATTTATCCAAATAAATAAATACTGATTCAAAGGAGCACATACACCCCAATGTTTATAGCATTACTACCAACAATAGCCAAACTATGGACAGAGCCCAAATGTCCACTGACGATACATGGATAAAGAAGATGTGGTATGTATACATATATTTACAACAAGATGGGCAGATCTAGAGTGTGCTATGCTAGGTGAAATCAGTCAGAGAAAGACAAATACCATATGATTTCAATCATATGGAGAATTTAAGAAAGAAAATAGATGAACATAGGGGAAGGGAAGAAAAAACAAAATAAGATAAAAGCAGAGAGAAAGGCAAATCATAAGAGTCTCTTAACTGCAGAGAACAAATTGAGGGTTGCTGGAGGGGAGGTGGGTGAAGAGATGGGCTAAATGAGAAGGGGAACAGGAATTTTCAGTATTTGTCATCTTCCCAGACTAGGGGTTGTGAGGCTGCTTAGATCTCAATGAGCCACAGATAAGCTTCAGAAGGTCCCTTAAGTCATATAAAATTTAATAAGATCCCCAAAATATCTACTAAATATGAGGTTACTAACTCATTCTAAGGGATTTAAGGACTTAGCTGTCTGACAAACAGAATTTGTAGTTAAGACTGTAATCCCAAATAAAAGTTAAAAATTAAATTCCTGAGCCTGTGTTATGGTCTTCAGTTCCTTAAATTTATCTGGTTGAAGGTTTAGGCTTATAAACTTGCCAAGTGCCCAGTTAATAGGAAAGAGTCAGGTAGCTTCAGCTGAAGGGAGAGAAGTGAAGAAGTGGCTGGGAGCCAGGCAGGGTCTAAGAACTTTTCCTAGCCTCTGCTCTGCCTCTTTCCCATCATCCTTAAGAAATCATTGATGGTTTCCCATCAATAAATTAATTTCATCAAATATATTTTAAACTGTGTCTTATTTTTCTTTTCCATATCATCTCCACTAAAACAGGAACAGACATTTTATTTCTTATTATAAATATATTTTTAAAAAACTGATATAGGAGGAAAAATATAGACTAAATCATCTTTTTAGATTACCTATGTATTTAACTACTGCTCATCTCATGGGCCTTGACATTATATATTAATGGAAGATCATCTTGACTTATAGAACTTACCTTTACTCACCACAGATGATGCTTTATGAAGATGCCTACACAGGTGACATTATAACATATTATGGTAGAACTTGGGGGGGGATGCTAAAAAAATGAGGTAAGCTTATAAAGACCAGCTACCTGTTCTTTCCTATAATGTAACTTACATTAGGGAATCCATTACTTTTTATATTACTTCATAGGGAAGTCAGGAAGATCCCAGACTTGCAAGGAAGTGGAATGGAACAAAGGATGAAATATAACCTTTTATTTTTTCCTTTTACCTAAAAGTTTAGTGGTGAGCTATATTTACATAGGTATATACAATGTAAATTCTTTTAATTTTAATTTTTCTATTAATAAACTATTTTAAGAGCAGTTTTATGTTTATTTAAAAATTGAGTAGAGAATATAAAGAGCTCTCATATATTCCTTCAGCCTCCACCCCCATACCCCCATTATTAACATATCAGTATGGTACATTTACTGCAAATGATAATCAAATAATGATACATTATTACTAACGAACATCCATATTTTACGTTAGGGTTTACCTTTTGCCTTGTATATTCTGTAGGTTTGACATGTATCCACTGTTACAGTAACCTACAGAATAGTTCTATTGCCCTAATAGTGCCCTGAACTCTACCTATTTGCTCTCCTCTATTTCTCCCTTCCCTTCTGTTTAAAAAAAAATCACAATTTTCAACTGAAAAACCATTTTTTTTATAGGATGTGTTGGAATGACTATTTTTTATGTAGGGAAACTGAAACTTACCGGCTCAACAAATTCAAACTTCTTTTTTTCTTGAACCTCTTGAATTTTAAAGACATATTCTAGTGATGCTTCATAAAAATTTTGATGTTCTCGGTCAATCTGTGTATCTGCCTAAGGAGTAAAAAGAGAGGCAAATCGTGACACAAAGAATAATTATTGATGGCTCTTATGTAGAAAAGGCCTCAAATTCTATTCTACTCCAAAATCTCTATTAAAAATTAAGTGCTACAAAAAGTTTTAATATAGCAATTTTATTATTATGTTTTAGGCATACAGAGACTAGGAAAACATAGTCCTTGCCCACCAGAGTTTACAGATCATGGAGTATAAAGGGGCAGTGGGGAGTAAGTGTACAATATTCGGTACAAAAAAGATAAAAAAGGCATCTAAATGTATATGAAAATCTATGGGATTACAGGAAAAGAAACTAAATTCAGGAGGAAAATGGTGGTGGTATGAGTTGAATCTTAAGATGAACAACTGGCAGTCAAAGATGAAAAAGTAGAGGCATGGAAGAGACTGACAGTGTTTGGCTGCAGAGTAAAAATGGAGGGCAGGAGGGTTAAAAGTAAGGCTGGCATCACACTTTAAAAAATCTTGGATGCTGTATAACAAATTTTGTATTTTAACTGAGTGAGAATCATTTGAGAATATTCAGCAGAGTCACATCGTTAGGTAAACTATTGGAAAGGGAATACTCATAGCAGAGACAAAAAATAATTCAGTGGTTATAAACTAGAGAATGATATGACACCAATGCTATGCACATTTATTATTTATAACTGCAACAAGGTTTAACTGATAAAGTGTGAGAAAGTGTTATTGAGATAATTTTTTTTTTGGATATTGCCCTCCTCTATACCCACTATCATCTTCTGATGTCCTCTTTAAAACTGACCTTGGTTTACTAGCAGAACCATGATTTTACTTTTTTTTTCCAGTTTTGCACTCTAACTGCCAGCTGAGATTACAAAAAGCAAATGAAAAGAATGGGATCTCTGGAGTACTAAGTATCCACCAACAATAATATGGGAACAGAAAATTGCTTTGTGGAGACATTTAACAATGCTAATTTTACATAATGAAGCTTTCAACCTCCACCAAAAAAAAATACTAGAATTGATAAATGAAATCAGTAATGTCACAGGATACAAACTCAAGGTACAGAAATCTGTTGTATTTCTACACACTAATCACCCAGCACCAGAAAGAGCAATTAAGAAAATAAACCCATTTATAAATGCACCAAAAAGAATAAAATACCTAGGAATAAACTTCTAACTCTGTGAAAAATGTTTGTGGTATTTTAATAGGGATTGCACTGAATATGTAGATTTCTTTGAGCAGTACAGACATTTTAATACTATTTATATTTCCAATCCATCAGCATGGAATGTCTTTACACTTTTTTCTGATCATCTTAAATTTCTTTCATCAGTGTTTTTAATTTTCAGAGTAAAAACCTCTTTGGTTAGGTTTTTTCCTAGGTATGTTATTATTTTTGATGCAATTGTGAATGGGGCTGTTTCTTTAATTTCTCTTTCTGCTTCTTCATTATTGTTGTGTAGAAATGCAACAGGTTTCTGTACTCTGATTTTCCTTCCTGCAACTTTACTCAGTTCGTTTATCAGTTCTAGCAATTGTTTGGGGGCATCTTTTGGGTTTTCAATATAGACTATCATGTCACTTGTATATATGAAAGTTTTGCTTCTTCCTTACCAATTTGGATGTCTTTCATTTCCTTTTGTTGCCTGATTGCTATGGTTAGGACTTCCAGTACTATGTTGAATAAATCCTTCTAAACCCTAGACAGTTTTTCTATGAATGGAGACTGAACTTTGTCAAATGTTTTTTTCTGGATGATCATATGGTTCTTATCCTTTCTCTTATTGATATGATGTATCATGCTGACTGATTTGTGAATACTGAACCACCCTTTCATCACAGGAATAAATGTCATGTGGTTGTGGTGAATGATTTTTTAGTGTATTGATAGATTCTGTCTGCTAGTATTTTCTTGATGATATTTACATCTATCTTCATCAGAGATATTGGCCTATAGTTCTCTTTTTTGTGTGTGATGTCTTTATCTGGTTTTGGTATCCGGGTAATGCTGAGCTCCTACAATGAAATCCAAAATTTTCCTTATCTTCTACTTTTTGGAATACTTTCATTAGTATTAACTTTCATTAAATGATTGGTAGAATGTGCCTGTGAAGCCACCTGGTACTGACTTTTGGTTTGGGGAATTTTTTGATTATTGATTCAATTTGCTTGCTGTTTATCAATTTGTTCAAATTTTCTGTTTCTTCCTGGATCAGTTTTGGTAGGTTATATGGTTCTAAGACTATCCATTTCTTCCAGGTTGTCTAATTTGTTGGCACAGAGTTTTTCATAATATTCTCTTATTATTATTTGTACTTCTATAGGGTTAGTTGTTATTTCCCCCTTCTCATTGGTGATTCTTTTGAGTACTTTCCCTTTTTTTCTTGATAAATCTGGCTAGAGGTTTATCAATTTTATTGATTTTTTTAAAGAAAAAGTTCCTGGTTTCATTGTTCTGTTCTAGTGTTATTTTAATTTCTATATCATTTACCTCTATACTTATCTTTACTATTTCCTTTCTTGTGGTGGCTCGGTTTTGTCTGTTGTTCTATCACTAGCTCCTTTAGCTGTAATGTTAGGTAATATATTACTAGCTCCTTTAGTTTGTATATCTGAGATATTTCTTGCTTCTTGAGGTCAGCCTGTATTGCTATAAACTTCCCTCTTAGAACCACTGTTGTTGCATCCCAAACATTGTGAATTGTTGTGTTTTCACTTTCATTTGTTCCCATGTGATTTTTAAATTCTTCGTTGATTTCTTGTTTGACTCATTCATTATTTAAGTAGCATGCTATTTAACCATTAAGCGTGTGTAATCTTAATTTTTTTGAGATTTTTTTGAGTGATTGACTTCTAGTTTCAAAGTGTTGTGGTCTGAAAAAAAATGCATGGTATGACTTCAATATTCTTGAATTTGTTAAGGCTTGTTTTGTGGTACAGTGTGTGAGCTATTCTGGAAATTGTTCTATATGCTCTCCAAAAGAATGAGAATACACATTCTCACATAAGAATTCTCATTCTTTTTGAGTGAACATGGGTCATTCCTGTGAATAGATCATGCACGTGGGTCAAAAATCAGCCCTTAAGAAGTACAAAAAGACTGAGAACATATGCACGTTTTCAGACCACATTGCTTTGAAACTTGAACTCAACAACAAGAAAAGATTTGGAAAGACCACAAATACAAGGAAGTTTAATTTCATCCCATTAAAGCATGAATGGGTTAACTAGGAAATTAAAAATAAATAAGAAAGTACATGGAAGCAAACACAAATGAAAGCATAACAGTCCAAAACCTTCAGGATGCAGCAAAGGCTGTCGTATGAGGGAAGTTTATTGTAATACAGGCCTACCTCAAGAAGCAAGAAAGGTCTTAAAAAAAAAAGAAGAAGCAAGAAAGGTCTCAAATAAACAACCTAACCGTATGCATAAAGGAGCTACAAAAGGAACAGCAAATAAAGCCTAAAGCCAGCAGAATGTAAATAATAAATACTAGAGCAGAAATAAACAAAATACAAATTAAAAAAGTAGTAGAACAGATGAATGAAATTAGGAGCCAGTTCTTTGAAAGAATAAAATTGATAAAGCCCTAGCCAGACTTATCAGAAAGAAAAAAGATCCAAATAAATAAAATCACAAATGGAATGGGAGAGATCACAAGCAACACCACTGAAATACAAACAGTTATAAAAGAATACTATAAAAAACTTATGTGCCAGCAAACTGGGCCATCTGGAAGAAAAGGATAAATTCCTAGAAACATACAAACCAACAAAACTGAAACAGGAAGAACAGATTATTTGAATAGACCCATAACAAGCAAAGAAACTGAATCGGTTATCAAAAATCTCCCAATGAACTAAAGCCAGTCCAGGGCTAGATGGGTTCCCAGGGGAATTCTACCAGGCATTTAAGAAGACTTGATGCTTATTCTTCTCAAACTGTTCCAAAAAAATAGAAATGGAAACAAAACTTCTAAACTCATTCTACAAGCCCAGCTTTACCTTGATCCCAAAACCAGACAAAGACTCCACTTTTTTTTTTTTTAAAAAAGGAAAACTTTTTTTTTTTTTTTACAAATAGTTTATTGTCAAATTAGTTTCCACATAACACTCAGTGCTCATCCCCAAAGTGCCCTCCTCCATGCCCATCCTCCCCTCCCCCCCACATCCATCAGTCCTCAGTTTTTGTCAGCATTCAAGAGTCTCTCAGGGTTTGCCTCTCTCCCTTTCCCCCACCATTTCCGCCCTTCTTCTCCCCCTTATTCCTCCGTCAAGTTCCTCCTAATTCTCCTATACGTGCAAACATATGATATTTGTCCTTCTCTGCCTGACTTATTTCGCTCAGCATAACACCCTCAAGGTCCATCCATGTTGCTACACATGGCCAGATTTCATTGTTTCTCATTGCCATGTAGTATTCCATGGTATAGATAAACCACATCTTCTTGATCCATTCATCTGTTGATGGACACTTAGGCTCTTTCCATGTTTTAGCTATTGTGGAGAGTGCTGCTATGAACATTGGGGTACATGTGCTCCTATGCCTCAGCATTTCTGTATCCCTTGGGTAAATTCCTAGCAGTGCTATTGCTGGGTCATAAGGGAGTTCTATTGTTAGTTTCCTGAGGAACCTCCACACTGTTTTCCAGAGGGGCTGTACCAGTTTACATTCCCACCAACAGTGTAGGAGGGTGCCCGTTTCTCCACATCCTCGCCAGCATCTAGAGTTCTCTGATTTGCTCATTTTAGCCACTCTGACTGGCGTGAGGTGGTATCTCAGTGTGGTTTTGATTTGTATTTCCCTGATGAGGAGGGATGCTGAGCATCGTTTCATGTGTCTGTTGGCCATCTGGATGTCCTCTTTGGAGAAGTGTCTGTTCATGTCTTCTGCCCATTTCTTCACTGGGTTGTTTGTTTTTCGGGCGTGTAGTTTGGTGAGTTCCTTATAGATTCTGGATATTAACCCTTTATCTGATATGTCATTTGCAACTATCTTTTCCCATT